TTCCCTGAAAGCCGAATGGATTGGAAAATGTCTGTAGAAATTTACTTTGAAGCTAATTTACTATTTACTAACATATACTGTATTTCTTAAAAGTGAGCTTGGAGCAGACTCACCCCTTCTACAATACTGTGCTATGATATCATTAAGTATGAGTGTTAAACAATGTAAATGCAATTGCAAAAATTTAAGATAAGCTTTTGCATGTTTAAAATTTCAAAAATTATTTTTTAATTTTATATTAAAATACCTGGTGATCCTGCCATGAAGATTAAGACACTTCCTGATAAAGGGTGACAGCACTCAATACAGTGTCAATGCATCTTTAGGGAAAGTCCAATTCATTCCAGTAAAAGAAAACCAGTATAGGTGTATGTTCATGTGCATGTGCATATTCCTGTGCATATGGTCATTGCTGGAGATGAATTGGCTTGGCACTAGTACGTATATAAAATGGCACATATAAGCTGGAGTGGGACAAATTGCTGAGTGGTCTCCTCTTCAACTAGTTATGATTAACCTGCAACCAGGCCTGCTACTTCTGCCTTCCCATCTACGACCAGGCTTGCCCATGACCTGCTTCTAGATTATTTTCTGCTCATCGTGACCTTGGCCTGTGTTTTAGACTCTGCTTTCTAACTTCTGATTTAGGTACCTTTCTGCCTGGATTTTGACTGACCTCGACCTATACCTTGACACTGCCTCTGCCTCTTTTTCTAGTAGCTCACTGCTCAGCTATTGCTGACCTTGGCCTGTATCCTGGCTTCCTCCAGTAAGGCTGGGTAGGGTTAGTTGACCAAAGCACCTTTAATTGCCTCAGAGAGGCCTATTCAGAAATGGCTGTGGAGTGATGTGTCATTCCATCCAGATTCCAGGGCCCACCTGAGAAACTCTGAACAGTATACAGTTGGCTCCTTGCTGTATGGTATGCAGGGCTGATTCAGCAGCAGCATGGTCTAGGTCATCTTATGGAAAGCCCAAAGCTTCAAAGAAGTCATGGTCTCTTAGCAGGGCTGGATGGTTTGGTTCCAGACTAAAGGCCCAGGCCTAGGGGTCACTCTGCAATTATAAAACAACAATTTGCACTTTCTGTGTTTCAGAGCCAGATAAGAATGGTTTTAACTTGAAATATAATTTGCAACTATTTTTAAAGTTACAAAAACCTCTTCAGTCACCAAAAAATCAGTCAGGCAATGGAATCTTTGGTTCAGATGGTAGTGTAATGGTGGTTTTAGGAGGATATTGCACCTTAGTGAACTAGGTGGCCAGTTCCTGAACTTCCGAATCTAAATGGCAAAATTCTTGGGCAATCATCTGAGCTTGTGTCATATCCATCTGGTTGCCTACTGCTTTAATCATGTGGCTCATTGTAATGTCAGTCCAAAAGTGTAGGTATACAGATCATTCAGTAATAGCACATACTACAAGCAGAACTGTAGGCAGAACAGGCTTTCTGGTTCTTGTGGTGCACCACTGCAGGTGTCAGTAGAGCAGGATTGACACTGGTACATTGCAAGAGCAGGACAGAGTTCGCCAGCTTAAAGTGGTGAGTCTGATAATACAGAGAAGTCAGGTTAGGTCAGTCTACACAAGCCTGGCAGGGCAATCTTTAATAATGATTAGACCCTGGGCAAACATTTTCTTGCCCCCCAATGCAATTTTACTATCCACCTGCTCTGAGACATACAATATATAGCAGCTAGACTCAAAATCAGTTTATTTAGCAGATCAGGCAGCAATTGCAATTGGTTGCTGAAGGTTACAGCATATCAATACAGCTCACTGATGGTTTGGTAGAGGTTTCAGCACACATTATGGATCACTGATTAGTTGCTAGAGGTTATAGCACATGATTTCTGCTTGCTGATTGGTTGCTAGAGATTACTGAACAACATTACTAATCACTGATTGGTTGCTAGAGGTTACTTCACATTATTACCGCTCACTTGTTGGCTGCTAGAGGTTGCTAAGGGAAAAGAAGAGTGGCGCCTTCTAAGTGCAGCAGTCACATAATCGGCATCCGCTGTGTGAAGAGATGTGGGTCTCTGTGCAAGGTAGTGGGCGCGGTGTCAGGTGGCGATCCTGGGGGCTCCCAGCATTTCCTCTGAGTTCCGGGACACTACGAGCAGGCACTGGAAAAGACGGGGACGTCACATCCGGTCACGTGGTAGCAGGGAGTGGCACATTTGGAGCATGTTTGCTCCCTCATCAAGCCGTACGCTACCATGTTACCATATGTGACGTCTCTGTCTCCTCCAGTACCTGCTCGCAGTGTCCCGAAACTCGGAGGAAATGCTGGGAGCCACCAGCATTGCCGCCAGACACTGGACCCGCTACCTTACCTCTTCACACAGCGGATACCGATTATGTGACACGATAAGTGTTTCTCTACTATGCCTTTGTAAGTGGCTGTATTATACATTATATGTTTTATTAAAGAGTTTTACCGCTGCACTTAGAAGGCGCCGCTCTTCTTTTCCCTTGGTCTCCCCACAGGGTTTTCTCTAGCTCTCTACCGGCTGGCTTCCTAATAGTAATGCTACTTAAAAAGACTATTATAAGGACTACCTTAAATCCTAAAGGACATTGTTACATAGATATACCAAGAGTTACACAACTTCTATAAGTTTTATATTATTTTTAACCCATGCTCATTCTGCAGATACCATTTTAGCCCTTTCTGAGTGCACCAAATACCTGTTTCATTTTTATCTGCTAGAGGTTACTGCACATCATTACTGCTCACCAATTGGTTGATAGGGGGCACTGCACATCCTTACCACTCACTGATTGGTTGCTAGAGGTTACTATAGATCACTACTGTTCACTGATTGGTTGCTATAGGTTACTGCACATCATTACCGCTCACTGATTGCTAGAGGTTACTGCACATTATTACTGCTCAATGATTGGTTGCTATCGGTTACTGTGCATCATTACTACTTACTTATTGATTGATAGAGGTTACAGCACATCATTACAGCTCACTGATTGGTTGATGAAGGTTACGACACATCATCTACTCACTGCCTGCACACCATGGACTGGAAAAGTGAAGGGACCCACTAATAGACAGAAAACTCCTAGGATTTCTAGGACTCCGAGAATCAGTGACAGTGTTGGGGTGCTGATGGGATCAGTGGTAGTGGTGGGGGCATGGAATTAGTGGTAGTGGTGGGAGGGATGGGATTAGTGGCAGTGGTTGTGGGGGGATGGGATAAGTAGCAGTGCTGGGGGAATGGGATGAGTGACTGTGCTGATGGGGGGATGGGATCCGTGGCAATGCTTGTAGTGGATGGGATCAGTGGCAGTGCTGGATGTGGATGGAAGTTGAGATTTCTACATCGACTGGATTGAACTGGACTCTGCACGGCCTCAGTGCTCTCCTCAATGGGACATGGCAAGCAGCAACTACAGTTGGATGATTGGTGGAGTATTCATATGAAATGGTCTACACCATCGGTAATACAAGCCTCAGTTGACTGTCAGGACCTAGCTGGTCCCATCTCACAGTGAGTACTGGCTACCCAGTGTTGATCTCTAGATCACATCAGCTATGCAGGCATGTACAAACTGGACTAGAAACACACATTGAGGTTGCTTGTGGTAGGTACTCAAATTACATAGTTACATAGTTAGTCTGGCTTAAAAAAGACAAAAGTCCATCCAGTTCAACCAAAAAAAAAGTTGTAATCCTATACCCACAGTTGATCCAGAGGAAGGCAAAAAAACCAGCAAAGCACGATCCAATTTGTACCTGCAGGGGAACAAATTCCTTCCTGAGCCCCCGACAGGCAATTGGATATTCCCGGGATCAACTTTACCTATAAATGTTAGTAACCATTTATTTTCTGTGTATGCAAGAAAGAATCCAGGCCTTTTTTAGCAATCCACTGAGCTGGCCAGAAACAACTCTTAAGGAAGTCTATTCCACATTATCACAGATCTTACTGTGAAGAAACCTTTCCGTATTTGAAGATTACATTTATTTTCCTCCAGATGTAAAGAGTGCCCCTTGTCCACTGTGATGACCTCAGGGTGAATAACTCTACACCGAGTTCACTATATGAATCACTGATGTATTTATCCCATGTTTATCATATCTCCCCTTAATCTCCTCTTCTCAAGAGAGAATAAATTCAGTTCCTCTAATCTTTCCTCAGAGCTGAGCTCCTCCATGCCTCTTATCAGTTTGGTTACCCTTCTCTCAGAAACAATTGAGTACTGACCTGATACTTTTTTTATTTGCAGTAACATACAATTTTGAGGACAAGCTTTCGGGGTATGTCCCCTTCTTCAATGTCCAGGCAGTACTACTACACAAAGTTTTAGCAGAATGTTAGAAGAGATGTTGAAAGGGGGGGAGAAAAAAAAAACCAGAAAGAAACACACACAAAAACAAATGTACACAGCAATGGTTATAAGACTAGGATTAGACTAGAGATAAGACACAGCAAAAGCAAAGACTGGTGGGGGGAACAACGCTCACAGAGACGGTCAGAAAATTGTCGGATAATGAGTGAGGAATCCCATGTCCAAATTAAGGCCGTTATCTCTTGTATCAAATAGAATTATCATTCTTAGTTCAAAAGTTTTTCTTTCCTGAATAGATTTAAAATTTCCTTTAAGAACTAAAATATTGAGGTCTTCCATAGTGTGGTCTGGTTGTGCAAAATGGTGTCCCACAGGTGTGCAAAGGTCATCTTCTTTATGTTCCTTGATGGTATGTCTGTGCAAATTCATCCTTGTTTGCAACTTCTGTCCTGTTTCGCCAACATAGGATCCTTTGTTACATTTTCTGCACTGGATAAGGTACACAACATTACTAGAGGTGCAGCTGTATGATCCGGAAATATTGAAGATCCCTTTTGCGTGTTTGACACTTTTTGATGGATTGATTTGGTTGCACAGTTTGCAGCATTTCTTATTGCAGGGTTTTGCTTCCATTATTTGTGACATCATAATCAGAAGGAAGTTTCCTACTGATTAGTTTATTTCTGAGGTTGGGGGGTTGTCTGAAGGCCAGTATTGGGGGTTGCTGCAATATTTCTTTTAGAGTTCCATCCTCTGTTATGATGGGTTGTAAATCTTTGATTATTTTTCTTATTCCTTCTATTGCTGGGTTGTATGTGGTTACTAGAGGTACACGGTTATTTGTTTTGTTTGGTGAGGATGAGAAGGATCTGTGACATGCAGCAAATCCATCCTTGTGAGGGATATTACTATACCGGGATACTACATCCATAATGACTAGAATTGTATTAGATGGTAATTGCTGTATGTTGTTGATCTTGTTCAGAAAGTCAGTTGTGTCTTGCAGGAAACTAGCAGTATTCTTGACTAACGGCTTTAAAATTTTTTCTACAAAGCCTGAGATTTGTTCGGTGAGCGTGTTCATACCTGTTATGATGGGTTTGCCTGGATTTCCTGGCTTGTGGATTTTGGGCAGCATGTAAAAGTACCCGATTTCTGGATGATCGCATTTATAAGTTCTGAATGTAGGTGGGCTGGAAGTGTTTTAATGAGACCTTTTAATTGCTTTGTAAAGTCCTTGCGTCGGATCATGATCCAGTTTTTTATAGTAGATGGCATTTTCCAGCTGCCTCTGGCCTTCTTGTATGTATTTGTTTGTATCCATCACAACAACTGCTCCCCCTTTATCCGCTGGTTTGATGGTGATGGCCTGATTATTGAGCAAATCGTGTATAGCCCTTCGCTCTAGTGGTGAAAGATTGTACAGAATTTTCTTTTGCTGGGTGGATATCAGGGATGTAGCTCGCAGTCTGAAGCTATCAATATAGGTGTCCAGTTTGGGGTTGTGTCCTTGTGGAGGTGTGAAGCAGCTGTTCTTTTTCTTTGTGTAGCACTCCATTGTCCTAGGATTCCTTTCATTACTGTGGAAAAATTATTTGAGCCTTAATCTCCTGAAGAAATCCTCCTTATCTGACAATAATTGTAAATGATCCAATTTGGTGGTTGGCGGAATGTAAGGCCTTTGGAGAGGATGGTTAATTCTGGTTCAGAAAGTTTATGATTTGACAAATTGATGATTTCAAGTTCCTCTGCTATATCCACATCTTGAGTCAGGTCAGCACTTACACAAAGGATACCTTGGGATTCCGGATTGGATTCCAGGTTACCCTTCTCTGTGCTTTCTCCAGTTCCCCTATGTTCTTTTTGTGAATTGGTGCCCAAAATTGAACTGCATATTCCAGATGAGGTTTTACTAATGATTGGTACAGGGGTAAAATGATATCTCTCTCTCTCTGGAGTCTATACCTTTTTTAATACAAATAAGGATTTTGCTCACTTTAGAAACTGTAGCTTTGCATTGCATGCCATTATTAAGCTTATAATCTACCTGAATTCCCAGATCCTTCTCCACCATTGATTCCCCCACTTGTACCCCCCTGTATGTATGATGCATGCATATTCTTAGCCCCCAAGTGCATAACCTTACATTTATCAACATTTATTAAACCTTATTTGCCACATAACAATAACTGAAATCATGTTATGTTCACTGCTACCCAGATCAGGGCTGTAGATAATGTTTTCTTCTGGGGGGGTGATTCAGCTCGCATTTTTGCTGCCGCCCTCCACAACTTCTCCCCATGGAAGGAAGGAAGGGGTGGGTGGAAGGAAGTTAGGAATGAAGGAAGGGGTGGGTGGAAAGAATGGTGAGTAGATGAGAGGAAGGGGTGCGTGAAAGTAAGGAGTGAGTGGAAGAAAGGAAGGGGTGGGTGGAAGGAAGGAAGGGGTGGGTGGAAGGAAGGGGTGGGTGGAAGGAAGGAAAGGAGGGGTGGAAGGAAGAGGTGAGTGGAAGGAAGGGGTGGGTGGAAGGAAGGAAAGGAGGGGTGGAAGGAAGGGGTGGGTGGATGGAAGGAAGGAAAGAAGAGGTGGATGGAAGGGTGGGTGGAAGGAAGGGTGGATAGATAGGTGGAAGGGAGGGGTGGTAGGATGGAAGGAAGGACATTCGTAATAAGCTCTGCATGGTTTGAGATTACCAGGTCCAGCAGAGCATCATTCCTAGTTGGGACCTCTATGACCTGTACCATAAAATTGTCCTGTTGTAGGTTTATAAATGTTTGCCCTTTAATTGTTCCTGCAGTACCATTACTCCAGTCAATTTCCGGGTAGTTAAAATCCTCCATTATTATCACTGTCCCAGCCCTTGCATCCCTTTCAATCTGTGCAAGGATCTGAGTCTCCACCTCCTCATTAACACTGGGAGGCCTATACCAAACTCCAATGATTACCTTTGTAGTACGCACCCCCATGTGCAGTTCCACCCATAATACTTGATCACACTTCATCAACTAGGTCCTCTTTCACACTCGCTCTGAGATCACTTCTCACATAGAGACAGACACCACCACCTTTCCTTTTTACACTGTCTCTCTGAAAGATAACATAGCCAAGAATATTAATGGCCCAGTCATGTGAAGAATGAAGCCAAGATTCAGCAATACCAATTAAATTATAGTTCTCTTCATGCACCAAATTACATGTTTCTGTTTAGTTCCGCTGGCTGCATTATACCCATCCATGTCTATACTCCCAGAATCACATTATTACTGCATGGATTACTGAAAGTTGGCTTGCTATCAAGGATTGCCATTGTTTCTACTCTGCATGGTGCCTAGTCCTATTTTACCATCTGCAGGCTGTTTGTGCTCTTTGTACTGTATATGCTGCACGTGCACAGATCTGACTCTACACTGTACTTTTACTAATGCTGCTAAATATACAATTTGCAAGAACTTCTGGACTGGCCACATTAATATGCACAGGGACTTTTGCATTGTTGACCCAATTGCTTGGTCTGGATCCCCGAGGCATTAGCCCATACCCACAGGTTATCAGGCAATTAGGTCCCTTAGTCACAGGGTCTAGTCCACCATCCAGTATTAGGTAGTTACCTGGTGTCCATCCAGGTTGGCCCCTCGTTAGCTGCTTGTACCCAATGAAACCCTCTGTCCATTTGTGATACAGAGAGGCATTTGGGACTGGCTCCTATGATACTTGGGGTGTTCTGTAGGGTGTGTTTGAGGGCTGGCCATTAGAACAGGTGGGGATATCTCTGGGGGGGTTAGGGAGGAGTTAATGGGCAAATGTTTCACCTTAGCTCCCTCTGTGGGGGTGGCTGGGCTATGTGTGTGTGAGAGGGTGTCCCTGGGGGGGGGTCACTGTGATTTTTGGGGGGTTGATAGTGGTGTTGGTGGTGTGTGGGTGGGAGGAGAGGGGAGGGCATTGTATGTGTGGCGGGTGATGCAGGTGTTCTGGCCTTGGATTGGGGCGGATTGGTCATCTCCTTTGTATACCATCTTTTTTAGGGGGTGCCTTAATTATTGGAGATCTCTGGTAGGAGGTACGGTCAGGGTTTGGTACCCGTGTCTCTGATGCATTGTTTGTAAATTATTATGCTATACTTGTAATAAACATTGGTTTGAAGGAAGCCTTAAAAGGTGTGTGGCCTACTTTCTTTTTCTTTGGTTTTTATACATTTCTACATCAACCACCAATGTAAGTGGGGATTTACACTGACAAACAATGTAAGGGCAATGCTGCACTTAAAAACAATGTAAAGGGAAATTTACACTGACCACTGATATAATGGGGAATTTGCACTGACAACCAATGTAATGAAAAATTTACACTGACAACCATTGTAACGGGGGATTTTACACCAACAACCAATACATTTCTACACTGGCCACCACTGTAAGGGGTAATTTACACTGACCACCAATTTAAGGAGGCTTCTACAATGTAAAGGAGGATTTAACACTGACCACAAATGCAAGTTAGGATTTTTTACTGACTACCAATATAAAGAGTAATTTTTACAGTGGCCACCAATGTAAAAGGGATTTACACTTACCACTAATATAATAGGACCACTCATAGTGACCACCAATGTAAGGAGGGATTTAAACTGACCACCAATATAAGGGGGACATTCACACTGACCATTAGTGTGAATGAAAGGATTGCACACCAAGCCCCAATGTAATGAGAAGATATACATTGACCACCAATGCAATTGAGACATTTAGCCTATGTTTACATTTGCATGTGTCGGAAATGCATGCAAAATCGCTTTCCTGACACCACAGAAATGTGCTGCCCCTTAGCAGATACACAGCGGTGCCATTAATTGTTAAAGCGGAGTTCTGCCCAAAAGGGGAAGTTCCGCTTTAAAGACTGGTCCCCCGCTCCCCATTAAGGATTGGCACCTTTGGGAAGCGGGAGGAGAATGGGTACCCAAAAATGACAGGTACCCACTCCCACGCCTAGGCGATTGGAAGCAGAATTCGTCCCCCCCCCCTTCCTCCCCGTAGTGTTCTGGGACACGTGATAGATCCCAGAAGACTACAGGGCCATTCAGGAAGCGCAGCACTACTCGCACATGCACAGTGGGCACCCACACTGAAGATGCTGGTACCTGGAACACAGGGCGGCCAGTGAAACAAGCTGCAGGCAGGATACAGAAGGACTGTGGAACAGGTGAGTGACTGTTTTTAAAGGTCAGCAGCTACAGTTTTTGTAGCTGATGACTTTTATTTTTTTGCAGTGGAACTCCGCTTTAATGACACCCTCATGCATCTGCTGACGTGCACATTTCCATATGCAACAAAATTCATTGTACTGTGACTCAGTGTGATCTTGAAAAAGGGTCAGGGACTTTATTTCCACATTTCTAGCGCTTAGAGCAGCCAACTGAAATGAATGGGTTGCCCTATATGTGACGTACATTTTTATCCGCCCCGTCAATACACCTTTGCATCCTAAATTTCCTTGCTAACCTCTGCACCCCAAACCTCCCCTATCCTCTTCACTCCAACCACACACACACACACACACACACACACACACACACCTTAACTCCACATACCTTCTCTGCTCATCTTTGCACCCACTTTTCCTAACTCTGTACATCCCCTCCCTGCTCACCTGTACACACCAAACTGTAATTACTTTGCTTACCTTTACAGAACAGGCTGATGGTAGGCTCAATGACCACAGTTGCAGGCAGGACATTCAAGCATACCCCTGTTTACCTCCCCAGTGGGCAGTATTAAGCAGAGGTGATAGTGGCTGGAACCTCAGGGGGGCATAATATACATATGAATGCCACTAATAGTTACATATGAATTACCTGCTATTTACATATCAGTGCTGGCTGCCTGCCTCTATTTACATATGAATACTGGCTATTTACATGTGAATGCTGACATGGTCTGCATGTGAGTCATGGCAAAAGGGCAGAGGGCAGAGCTGGGCAGCATAATTGACAGCACTTCACACTAAGATATAGGGACACAGCAAGACTTCAAGTGATAAGGGAATGTAAACTGGGACAGTTGGCAAGTATGGGGCAGCTGCTTTGGGCCCCACAACAATGACTGGGCTTAGGGAAGCTGACCCTTTTGGCCTTCCTTAAAGATGGATCTGAAGCTTGGTCACACAGAGAAGATACAAGCTGGGTCAAGTAAGCACACACAAGGTAACATCCACTATCACCAACACTGGTGGTGTGTACAACAGGTGTTTTAAACATGAGCAGCAATGAGCTGGCCAATCATCAACATTTCTAGGTAATGGCTGTCTGGG